CTCGCTCTATCCAGTGTACAAAACTGCGGCTCACAGTCGTTTGTGAGTGTGCTTTATGTGGGCACACAATGGCACAATAGTAAGATTCTGACCAAAGATTGTTCCCGAAAGCGAGTGGCGCAAAGTGAACAATCCTAGGCAATAGGCGTGGTATATGCACAAGTGCAAACTAACTAATCCAGTAAGTACACACTTGTCACCAAAAGAATTCAGGATATGTCCATTCAGAAAGTGTAATACTTTTTGCAAGAAAACTCGAAGGATCACTACGTCATAACGTAGGGTGTGTGTGCGACGTTGCATAAACAAGTATCATTTTTGGAAACTTGGTGGGAGATGGGCCAAATTGGAGGGAAATTTTCTAGTTTTATTGGATGAAATCACTTTATATTCATTGCTGTGAAAGTGCATCATATTCGCAGAAGTTGAGGAGTTTAAGTGAAAGCTAATGTATTGATCCCGCCTAGATTTAATTTTGCAGAGTGTGTTCACAAACCGATAAAAATATCCTAAGCTGTAATGGAAGAACGCTGACTCCAACGATAAGGAAACGAAGTACAACTCAAGTGGTACGTTATAACCTGATTGCAGGCTGAGCAGTTACACTCGGAAAGACTAAAGCGTTCATGTGTCAGTGAATAATATTAGAAAGTAACAGTCAAATGCGTTGTGAATTACTAACTTTTAATTGTAAATGAAATCGCTGTTATCAGTCAGGGAAATGATCTCGAAAATATTCTCAAATCGACACATCTAACGGGAATATTTAAAATGCGAAATGTCAGCTGATTTATTTAGGGTATATTGAAAAAACAAAATACCATATTATCACTTTGAAGCTAGAGTTGGAATCTTTTCGTGGGATGGCGTTTCTCTATATTTACTTGTCACGCCGCAAAGGTGGCTCTCCCAGACGAAACATATGCAGAAAGAATGGGTGAACAGAACAATACGTCGACTCTCACACTTGTTTCCTGCTGCACAGTAAAATAAGTTTAATCTAGTGTAACGCCAATAGTGTAATAAGCATTTGTTCTACTGGCACAGCGCATGACGAATTGCTAAAAGTTAAGTCAACGTTCCTAATAATTTGATACCCAGAGGAACTTATGGATTATTGTGTTAGACCCAACAGTAGAAAAGAAAAGGTTTACAGTTAATGGTCTTTCAAAGTTGACACTGGTGAAAACAATGAACAAGCGACTGAGGATTTCATTGTTCCCCAATACGTTTTCCACTCTTCCAAATCAGTTCTTCCATTTTAAATGAAGGATAGGCTACCAATGGTGACGGCTTATTTTGTTTCTACGATTTTACTTGTTCCTTTGGCGCAAGTTACGTGGGTCGCCTGGTNCCTGGTCATGAGAGAACACCCAGCTTGGATCAGTTGGGCACTGAAAATTGCAGGTGTGAGTGCGGTTGCAATATATCTGGCAGAGAAAAATCACACTGTGGATATGCGGGAATCGTTCCGTCTAATCTATTCGATGACGAGGATCCGGTCCAAGGCTGTCAAAGCCCGACTGCTACCTACAGCAGTGGCAATGGAGATTAGAATAAAAATACCCCCAGTAGGTGCACATAAACAGTTCATTAATTCCTTAACCTCCTGTGACCATGTGTTCGGCATGCCCCCGGCCAACATTCCAGTAGATTATTATTCACAGTTCGCAAGAGATTATCACCCATCAAATCCCATTTTACACATGCTTAGACCCTAATTTGACTGTCTCTCTGTGTTATTTACCAGAGTTATATGGTATGCTGTAATCGGCCAGTAAATAAAGCACTAGAAGCAAGCTTGTACGCCGTAGCTTTGTTTTTCCAAAACTGAAAAACTAAAATATAATGACGTCATTATATTTTAGTTTGACCCGAAACTAGAAGGAACCCCAGTTGTACACCAAAAGAGTAGTAGTTGAGCTAAAATGGTTTGCACTGGATAGTCAGTCTGTACGATCATCAAAATGAAACGAGTTCCCTCCGCCACAACATAGGTTAGAACTTCACTAAGCAGATCACGCTGAATAACTATGTATTATTTCTGTGACCTAATCCATAAGGCATTCGTTCTCATTGAGCCAGACACCTTGATTCCTAATCGTAAAAATATTCAAAGAACGATGAAATATGGCTACTAAACATCTGTATATTATGCAATTAATTATAAGAAATTTCGCATATTTAAGGTCTAAATCTCTGAAAATGTTTGGCCAACTTGAAGGCAATTTTTCTTTCTCGATGTTTTTTTGAGAGCAACAAGGAACACCATGCCTACAGGATGTGTTGATACACTAATCAAGTTTTTATATAAATGCGATCCACCTTTGTTGGAAACCGTTTTAGGTTTTTGACCAATATTGAGGCCCAAAGTCACTAAAAGCGTGTACTCTAGGTAATTTTTTATTATAGTTTTTCAAGTGCTCCATGAAGGTATTCGCTCAAATTTGTCCTGGTGACTATCCCATCACGATTTGTTTGATTTGAGGATAACGATTTTGGTACAGCATAAGTGTACATTTTTGGTACAAAGAAGCACCAATTTTTGAATGAAATGTTGTGGAATGTCTGTGTCATCGGCGTTTGAACCAACTACTTCAACAGTGATACAAAGTTAAACATTATTGAACAAGAATTCACAATATCGTACAAAACTATCTTTAGTAAGAACAATACAGTCAAAATTTTTAAAGAAATCAAAGGAATCCGTTAGATCTAGGTAACGATTAAGCAAGCTTGTTGTATTACTATAGTTCATTGTGGAGTGACTGCATTTCCAATGTAAGCGAGAACCTCGATGTACGAGTTGAGCAAGCTTGGTGCTCGTCATCCTCATCTTCATCGCCATTATCGTTCAGCGAGATATGGTGCGGTGAAATTCGCTGATCTCTAACAAGTTCACGATGTACAAAAATTAAGTGAGAAAGTACAAGATGGATACTGTTAAGTCCTAATCGGAAAGAGGCAAAGAATGTGAACCTCTATGGTCAACACACCCGAATTGTGTATACATGACTTTTCAAGCACTTTCACCTGATAAGAACTGACTACAAAAACGCCACTACTGTCGGTTCGCTGCCATATTCTTCAATATATCCAATCAACTAGTTGTAGAGTCTTTCGAACCCCAACCTGATAGGCGTGAGACACCTACTCTATCTAATCACTCTGTGAAATACTTCATTTCTCATCGTCACATCATCTGTTGACTTCCATAGGTTTTTTTCCAACCTGGAGTCGTAACTTCAAATAAGGTGCGATACGGTAGACGATAGCTAGGCATGCGTAATACGTGTCCTGATCAGCGAAGCTTACCGACTTGGATTCCTTGTGATAACGAATTTTGCATCGAACCATTACCAAATACAAGGTGACTCTGATGTAACTCAAAGTTGGTTACGATTTCGCTTCACCCAACCCGCTCCAAACTACATAAACATCGATCACCGAAGACCTGTAGACGATCTTTCCTCAGGCAATATTTCCTTGCTTAGGGAGTCCCCTAAGGTAGTTACTGATTGTCTTTCCTTTAAACACAACCTGCTTGTCCAATGTGACATTTCCAACAGAGGTGTTAAACTGTTTTTTACATGTTATTCTGTGATAACTTTGTTCTTTCAACAGGGCAGAATATCAACAATTTTTAATAAACGTATTTGCTGTGAATAGGAACGTGCATTTAAATGTCGCAGGGGAGCCGAAATGCAACGACTACCGTTTCTAATCGAGAGTCAAATAAAACGGTTGGACGCCCTTTATGAAAGTCAGATTTTTGGGACGAGGAACTGTAAATTTATGTGGCGTGGAAACAATCTACTCTGCAGGCAGAAGAAAGTGATTTCCGGTTCCTCTGTTATTATAGAAAAACTGAATGATGCACTTGTTCATTCTTCTCCCCGGTTATGTTGATTCCAGTTCTCCAAAAAATCAACCTTCGTTTGATCCCAGCAACTCTAGTGAGATGTATAAACAAATGTGTTCTCTCAAGGTGTCGGCCGCACCCGGTCCAGAAAATTTGTGTCCTACCCTTCTTAAACAAGGTGCTCTGCCAGTGTCTCACATTTTGGCACACATAGGTAATCTTTAGCTCGAACTCCAAACTATTCCGGACTGCTGGCGCCCAGTATGAATTACTTTAATTTAAAAGGCTCTCTTAAGATAAGAAGACTGTACCAGTTCTGTTCTGACTTGTCAGTGATAAACGCTTTCGTTCAACAATGTCCTTCCTGCACCCCTTTACTGTTCCCCAGTGATTTTCCCTGATTTGTTAAAAACTGATTTCAAATTTCTGAGGCATGGCTTCTCAATAATCAGCCGTGTCGCCCACGTTTCGTTATCTGTTCTGATTGGCAATGTGTTATACCCATACTGATACGTGCTTGAGGTTTTCTGACAATATTCTATCTGAATGCACCCATGGTGTACACATTGACTCGTGTGCTTACAAAAATTGTCTTGTTATTTTACAAATCACGGAAACCACAGGCTGCTTCGCTGTAAACGGAGCTTTATGCTATCAAGATGGTCTACAAGCAGTAGGTTATAAAACTGCCACTTGTGTATTTTACCACCAATGAAAAGGAATATCTTCTCGGGATAGGTTGTCGCAGCCAGTCACCGATATTGTACATGGGCGGACTCACTTTAGTCTTTTATACATTTTTTCTCTTACTTGTTCAGGGGCTAAGGGTATATGTGGAAAAGAAAAAGCTCAACGCTACAGAGGATGCAAAGTAGTATTGTATTTTGGCGGGGCCTTCAAATTCGGCAGTGCTGTTGCTTTCCGTTCGATCATTGTCACATAGTCACTGATATTCCCGTTGTTTCTATATATCAGTTAACTTTGTGGGTCGTTTCCATAGACATATTGTGCAGTTACGATGACGCCGGTCGCGATATTTCATAACGCCTTCATGATAAGCATCAAGAACTCTAATTTACCTCCTGAAGTACTTGAATTCGGAAAATCAGTGAGAAATAAATACAAAAGGATTCGCAGAAAATCTCGCGG